GGTTCTTTTTGTTGCGGTGATCCAGAAAATTGCTTGCAAAAGACAAGCAAGCATCAGGATACATCAAGAAGCGTTTCGTCCAATCAGCGTTCACTTGGAGTCTTGGCCAGAAATATCAAGGAAATGAAGCGTCACATGCAGAGGCTCTGATTGGTTGGCTGCTACACTGTTACTATGTTTAGTAGCATTCCAGAATCTTCTAGCAACCCAAGGACATTTAAAATATTATAAAAACCCTTATATTTTCTGTATTAGAATGAACCTTGGAGTAAACTACTTATCGCATACTTTGAGTCATATCTCTCGCGTTCAGGTCACTGTTTAGTTCTAGCTTGGGGGTTACGGAATAGCTTAGAAGACGAATATAGCGTTCAATCCGGCAAGACATCACTTTTACAGCCAGACTAACATCACGAAGGCGCCGAAGATGGACTAGATTAGCATAAGCCGCTCTGGCCCTTACTATATGTGGATCTCATTGACATTGTAATTATAAAACCATGATACAAGGACGTAAATAGATTCCGAACACTTAATATCTAAATGGAGTAGTTCAATATCTACCAAAACTAGACCGACCGATGTGAAGATGGCACAGGTATTCACTGTTTGATAACGCGTTTACCAGTAACACCTTCTAATATAACTCGTACCCACCAAGAGAAATCAAAAGATAGAATCGAGGAGATCAGAAGCTGTATTTGACGATCGCCAATATATCGGAATTGTCTGATCTAGTCTGGCTAGCGATTACAGTAGATGTTGAGCACGGCGTTCCCACACGTGATCTGGTGCGGATGCATGACCGAGCGCCTTCAGCTAGGTGAGTCCACTAAAACTAATGTGGTCAGCATCCAATGTCAAGAAAGCTTACAGAGCTATTTATTTTGGGGATTTATTTACCGCTACAGATGTTTCTAGAGAATGTACTTATGCTTATATTAGATAGATGCCGAATGATTCACTAAAACCTCAAATTACTTAGCGACTGTGATTTCACTATAGTTATAGAATTCTTCAGGTATGCTAATTTGCTCTTTGACGTTGACGGAAGAAAAACCCAGCATACTATACCCATTGTATATGTTACTCTATGATTTGGACCTAGTACAGTATTGATCTAAACTTTCAGTCAATGTTGGACAAGTAAGTGAATCTCAATCAGATACTCATAAAATGTCCATGAGTAACATTTCGCAACACAATCGAAGATGTAAGTGGACTTACTGTCAGGGAACATTGTAGAGTACATGATCAAATTTGGTAACATGCTCCCCAGACACCTAATGAATTCCATCTAGGTGCACAGAATAAAAAATATGCAAAATTTATACCTACCTCCATGAACTCCTTGCTAGACAGTTACGTATACATTTTTGACCATAGTCCTAATGATATGTTTGCTAGACATTCGATTGAGCATATAATACCGAGATCTTAAAGAAAGTCATAATGTAGCGAACAAGAGCTGAGATGAAAAATAGCAATTAACTGTTTAATACCGAGTTACGGAATGAGTTCGAGAAATATGGAAATTATACACATCTTCCTTTACATACTCCACTACTTCTCCAATTCCATTATTGTTTGGATCGCTCTCAAATTTCTTCCCTGTCCTCTTCATTACAATCTTCTGCTACCAGACATTCTATTTTCGGTTGGTGTTACATACTACTTGTATCTGTTAACATATGTAGTGAACACCACAATAGTGAACAAAATTGGATTAATCGAATCCCTTTATGATGTCCAGTTTCAGAAATACTGTTTACCAAGCCTTTTATCAATGTATCACTTAGACAGTTCATGAACGAATTATCAACTGACTTATACTATATCTTAGCAAATATAAAATCCAAACACGTATTTTTCTTGGCATTTCAGTATTCACTAACCTTCATCCAGATTACTAAGCAACCTACTACCCTTGGGAAATACATTGTCTTTCTAGACAAGGTAGGGTCACCTAAGTACACCGAACTGTACTATATTTTTCAAGCTAATTAAATACAGTGACGATGAATATTAATTATCCGTAACAGTATTTAAAACTCAGTGTTTAGGTTTCACCTCACAAAATAATTAATGATTTAACTTTTACTTATATTTGTTAGAACTTAAATGTACGTAGACACTAGTAACTTAACTTTCTTACGTATTTCGAATCATTAACTTAAATTGATTAAAGGAAAGTTCTACTATCTTGATTTATTATTGTTATATCCCGATAAGCATAATGAATGGTAACTTTTAGGATCCATTTATGGACCAATACTATGCGTAGACTTTTATCATGTAATTGTTAAATAAATAAACTGTTCATATTCATGTCCCTCTTATCATAAGCAACTCGGCTTTCACCATGAAGCGTCATAATTCTTCTAAATAAAGACATTCTAACTCCCAGGGCAGAGTTAAAATGGTTTGGATTATTTTTTTCTGGTAAGCGTTTTTTTAGCGAGTTAGTTTTCTACGGGATGGGGCCGCTAACCCCATGCCCAACCCCCCTCCTTTACCCGGGCTTGGGACCGGCAGTAACCCTATAAGAGAAGAAACTAGTATGGAGGACAACTGGAAAAGCATCAAGGAAGCATTAACTTCAACGTGTCAAGAGGTTCTCGGTCTAAAGAAACACCATTATAAGGAATGGATCTCTATAGAAACACTGGACAAGATCAAAGAAAGGAAGAACAAGAAGGCAGCAATAAACAACAGCCGAACACGAGCAGAGAAAGTCCAAGCACAAGCTGAATACATAGAAGCAAACAAGCAAGTTAAGAGGAGCATTAGAGCCGACAAGAAGAAATACGTGGAAGAACTAGCAACGACGGCAGAAAAAGCTGCTAGAGAAGGAAATATGAAACAGCTTTACGATACAACGAAGAAACTATCAGGGAAATACAGTAAACCAGAGAGGCCGGTCAAAGACAAAGAAGGCAAGCCAATCACCGAAATTCAACAACAGCGTAACAGATGGGTAGAATACTTCGAGGAACTCCTGAATAGGCCGGCTCCAATGAATCTACCGGACATCGAAGCAGCACACACAGATCATCCTATAGATGTCAATCCACCAACGACGGAAAAAATCAGAATGGCCGTCAGACAAATCAAGAACGGGAAAGCAGCAGGACCCGACAACATACCAGCTGAAGCACTGAAATCAGACATCGAAACAACCACAAGCATGCTTTATCTTCTATTCAAAAAGATTTGGGAGGAACAAGTGCCGATGGACTGGAAAGGACACATCGTCAAGATTCCAAAGAAAGGAGATCTGAGCGAATTTGAAAACTACAGAAGCATTACACTACTGTGAATACCAGGGAAGGTCTTCAACAGAGTGTTGCTGAACCGGATGAAAGATGCAGTAGACGCCCAACTTCGAGATCAACAAGCTGGATTCCGTGCACAGACCAAATTGCAACACTACGGATCATCGTCGAACAATCAGTTGAGTGGAACTCGTCACTATACATCAACTTCATTGATTATGAAAAGGCGTTTGACAGTGTAGATAGGAGAACATTATGGACACTTCTTCGACACTATGGAGTTCCTGAGAAGATTGTCAACATTATCGGGAACTCATACGACGGACTACACTGCAAAGTCGTGCATGGAGGACAGCTGACGGGTGCATCCCAAGTAAGGACCGGAGTCAGACAAGGCTGTCTACTCTCTCCCTTCCTCTTTCTTCTGGTGGTCGACTGGATTATGAAGACCTCAACATCTGAAGGAAAACACGGAATACAATGGACAGCTCAGAATCAATTAGACGATTTGGACTTCGCAGATGACCTAGCCCTCCTATCACGTACACACGAACAGATGCAGATGAAGACAGCCGGTGAAGCCGCAGTCTCTGCATCAGTAGGCCTCAGAATGCACAAAGGGAAAACTAAGGTTCTCAAATTCAAAGCGGAAAACAGCAATCCAATCACACTTGATGGCGAAACTCTGGAAGATGTAGAGTCCTTCACATACCTGGGAAGCATCATCGATGAACAAGGAGGATCCGATGCAGACGTAAAGGCGAGGATCGGCAAAGCAAGGGTCGCATTCCTACAATTGAAGAACATATGGAACTCAAAACAACTTTCAACCAATATCAAAGTGAGAATCTTCAATACGAACGTCAAGGCAGTTCTACTGTATGGAGCTGAAACTTGGAGAACTACAACAACCACAATCAAGAAAGTACAAGTATTTATAAATAGCTGTCTACGCAAGATACTCAACATCCATTGGCCAGATACCATCAGCAATAGCCTTCTGTGGGAGAGAACAAACCAGCTTCCATCTGAAGAAATTAGGAAAAGACGATGGAAATGGATAGGACATACATTACGCAAATCGTCAAACTGCATCACGAGGCAAGCCCTAACTTGGAATCCTGAAGGGAAGCGGAAAAGAGGAAGGCCAAAGAACACATTGCGTCGGATAATAGAAACAGATATGAAAACGATGAATTACAACTGGACGGAGCTAGAAAGCATTGCCCAGGACAGGGTTGGATGGAGAATGCTGGTGAGCGGCCTATGCTCCTTCACGAGGAGTAACAGGCGTAAGTAAGTAAGTCTTATCATAAGTTTTATTTTGGCCTATGAACTATTATTATACGATTTACCATTCTTGAATTATGCCCTGTCTATTAATTACTACCTCCCACACTCGCAGCCACATTTGGCCAAATCTTGTACAAATGTTGTTTCCTATTTTATGGTACGGTGTTGTCTGTTTGATTGGTATATAAACCCAGTATGTTTGAAATAAATGATTCATATTGCCGAGGCTGAGATTGGTGTTCTGGACTTAACTGGCTGGGCTAGGCACGAAGCACGACCAATCAGGACTCTAGGCTGCTCGTACGGGATTTATGCGTCACTGGTCCGATCGATAAATCACTGCTCTCTAATTGGTAGTATCGTTACATTATACATTCGCATGGCACACAGCCCACAAGATATAACAATCATAAAATAACAAAATAGTCAATATGAAGCAATAGTAAAGTTAAGTTACTACATTTAAATATATTTATTCAAGAGAAATCAAAGTAATGACAATTGATATAAAAGTGTATATTTAGATATATACGACAGAAGTGAAGCGGATAAAATTACATAAAATTATTTAGAAGAAAAGAATCAAGTTAAAACATATCTTATTCGACAAAGATCTAAGTTCTCTTTTGTTGCATTTAAAAATTTGTACGGTATACCTGAAACAAAAAGATTGATCAGAGAATGAATAAATGTCAGAGAAAAATTAACAAAATTGATAAATTTTTAGCTCTTGAAAACTACATAATTTAAGTCTAAGAATGATCTTACTGAACTGTAAATATTATGTCTTTGAACAGATTAGTAAATAGACACTTATGTAGACAGGTAGTGTGGAAAACAATTGGATAACCTATCATCTCAGTATGGTTGTGAATGAATACAACTTAAGTCATTCTCATAAAGTGTTCTTCATTATTTGGTGAGTTAAGTTTTCATTATGATCAAGTTATATATATCTTATCAATGGGATATAATGTATAACGAATGTATAGTCATTTTTAATTCAAGGAAATCTTTAAATGAGGGAGAAATGATTCATTTTAAAGTAATTAATAAATTCTAGCTGTGAACAGTAAAATAAAATTAAGCAGAATAATACATGATTATTTTTATGATAAGAACTTACCTTTTGGAATATATACGATACAAGGTTTTGTTAAAGGAATGGCGAATTTCGCAATCTGTACAGCATAAAGACTGTAAGAACTGTTATTATTCATAAGAACAGGAGGACTTGACATCATTTTGAATACATTTATAGCGTTCGGATCATAATGAAGTTGACGTCTTTCTTGTTCCTTACTGACAATCCTCGTAAGATTTGCATTCATTTCAAAACAAGGTATACGAGTCTTAGTTCTACTTGGAAAAGCACCAGATAAAGCTGGAACTACGTAACTCGAGTATTCCATAGTAGAAAATTTGAATGGAGGAAATTGCGCATTTTCTGGATATATCACCTCTATAATTAAGGATAAAATCACTACCCATTACTGCTTATGTCAGATTTAAAAGTTATTACAAAAATGAACAGACATTTTGTTTTACGAATGATAATCAGAGGAACTAAGATAGCCCATTACCATATGTTAAAATGACCTTCAGGTAACCGAAGTTAGGTGTGCTCAACAGGCTAAGTAGATATACCTAACGAAATGTTAATAATAAAATATTGATTTCATAATGATCGCCGAATGTTGATGTTCACTGTAGTAAGAATATGGGACGATATCTTCTCGTAACTCAACATAATATCTTCAAAACAGTTTTCCAAACAACAAAATAAGCAGGGACAATTCAATTTCTTTCAATTACTAGTTTCACTACTTAAGAAAATATAATAAATTCGAAGGCTAAATAATTCACCGATTAGTTTAATAATCATCAAATATTCAAACACAGATAATATTGTGATTGTTGTCGGTTTTTGGTATGGAAATATACATACGTCCCAGTCAGGCTAGTCAGATGTTTTTGATCTGAGGTGTGTTGAAGTTCAGTAGAATAGATTGTTATAATTTGTGGTTTGAATGCTTATTGTCTTGGCTCTTTTAATGCTATTTTTGTATCTGGTCGTCGCTGATTGTTATGTCGGAAACGCCTATCACATGTACTCGGAACGAGGGTCCTCTGCAATTCCCACGACGCGAAAGTAAGAACACAAAGACTGGCATAAGTGATGATTTATTAACCCCAAAACACTGACGACGACGACGACGACTCTAGTAGAAAACACACTCATTTATATATTGATTGTAGACCAATTTTGATTAATAATTAGAATATAATCACATAACAAATCACATACTGAGCATAGTCCATGTCAATGGGATACAAGAATATCGTATATTATACAGAATAAAATATCATACGAGAAAAGAAAACAAATACTACATTGAGTAATCATTACATTGAATCAAACGGAAGTAACCTTGAACAAAATTCATAATGAGTAAATCAATCGAAAATTGACTTTTTTCCCATCATATCATAGATACTGGAAAGGTATCTAGTGTACATATTTGTCTAAGGTAAATTATCGTCCCATTAGTGTAGACGGGGGAAAATCGAGCGTTATAACACATTAATTAGTGTGGTCTAGTATCCGTCCTAATCCTTATTAATCACTTTTGTTTTAAAAGTAGGTCACCATTATATTTAAACCAAGTAGATTTGAAATAATCTCTGTCAATCAAACTTCTATTTGGCTATTTGTTTAAATGTTAATGAATGTTCGCTGATTACTGAAATACAGATCACCTACCTATGCAATATAAAATATATTCTGCATATGAGAACGATAAAGCTAATTTACTCAAAGTAATATTAACGTTAGTAAGAACTTTTAGTCAAAATATGGTTGGTTAAGAAAAAAATATTATTCAATACTTCGTCTGTTATTTGACATACGTTGGAAAGGAGATGCATCATTGATCCCGATAGGCAACTGTGTTTCTGTATGTGATATCCATTCAACATCTGGATCCAATTGAATTCGCATACATGGATCTGTTTCAGGTTTCTGTGCACCTTTTTATAGAAAAATAGAAGTAGTGGCATAGTTGTTAATATATTTTAGATTAAAATATTTAGTTATGAGCACCTAAAACTTTATGGTAAAAGCTGCCGTAAAAGTTACTTTCAATTGACTATCAGACTCAGCTTCCTAGCTACCACCAAAGACTAGCTACACTTGACCTGAGATACTAGTATCCAGTAACTGCGAGAAAATAATACAACCATAGGTTGAAAAAGAACAGAAACTTCAGGGTCCTATGATGCATCCCGAGTACGATGAAATATGATTATCTAGTAATGTGTACTTCATACAGTAAGCGATACTTCAGAATAAGTTTACTGAATAGATCTTTGATTTAGTGCACACTTGATAAATAAGACAACATATAAACTGTGAAGAAATTAGAATACAGGCAAGATGAAAATAACTCAAAATATTAAAAAAAAAGTAACATTACAGAAAATATACAACAACAGATAAGTCGGTAACCTAAATATTATTATATTTCGCTCTTATAGTCACCTACCTTTCAGTGATCTGTAACGTTTGGCCAGTTTTTGAAGGCGTTTTGCTCGATTGATTTTTTCATTTCTTAAAAACTGAGTACGATTATTTTGACAACGTTTTAAACGATTGAGAAATTTTTGACGTCTGTTAATTTCATCTGAGTCAGGTAATATAGCTAATCCAATTGGTTTTTGATAAACTAAACCATATTCATCTTTATCCGGTTCATAAACAACTACTTTATTCCTATCATGTGTAGCTGGTACACGTAGTCGTTTACTACGTCTTAAATGGCCATCACTTTGTATAAAACTTTTAGTAGGAGGTCGTTTTGATTCTTATAAAAAACAAAATTAACAAATAGGTCAGTGTCAACCAATGAAAAAATGAACATCAGGAAATAGCATTTAGAAAAAGTTTGAAATACAAATACTTTTATTCGTGAACTGATTATTACTATTACCACTTTGCCATCGATGACATTCTGGAAACAGCTCTGATGAATGTAAGTAATGGTGGTGTGGATCTGTTGCCTGGAGAAAGACTTCTCGACCTTGAGTATGCGGACGATATTGTCTTACTGTGCGATAATGCCCAAGGCATGCAATCCGCACTTAATCAGTTGGCAATAAGTGTCCGTAGGTATGGTATGTGCTTTGCACCTTCGAAGTGCAAAGTACTTCTACAAGACTAGCAGGATTCCAATCCTGTACTCACCCTGGATGGTGAGCAGATAGAAGTAGTCGAAAAGTTCGTGTATCTGGGTAGCTGCATAAGTGCTGGTGGGGATGTGAGTGATGAGATCAATGCACGAATAGTGAAAGCGGCTTATGCCAATCTGGGCCATCTTTGGCGCCTTCGTGATGTTAGTCTGGCTGTAAAAGGTCGGATTTACAACGCGTCGGTGAGAGCGGTTTTGCTCTATGCTTGTGAAACCTGGTCTCTCTGAGTTGAGGACGTTAGACGACTTTCTGTGTTCGATCATCGTTGTCTCCGAGGGATTGCTGACATCCAGTGGCAACACCATGTTAGTAATGCAGGGGTTCTGCATCGTGTGTTCGGGCGCAGAGACGATAATGCAATTGGGGTCACCATCTTGAAACACCGACTTCGGTGGCTTGGACATGTTCTCCGAATGTCATCCCAGAGAATTCCACGTCGTGCATTATTTGCCGACGCTGGGACTGGTTGGAAAAAGCGGAGAGGTGGTTAGTATATGACATGGTGTCGTGGGATGAAAGGAAACTGTAAAGGACTGGCTTGTGTTGGTCCTCCACGACTCCCTGGTTGGGATCCGAGAGATGGTGCTACACAGTGGCTAGAGACGTTATCAGATATGGCTCAGAATAGAAGCCAGTGGCGATCCTGCTGTAACCTTCTTTTACTTTCTTCGTAAAAAGTGGTTGTATCTTACTTAACTGAAAGATCACTTCTGATTGTACCCTTCTGTTCCCCTACTATTGCTATTATTATTACACTACCTTACACCAATCTCTTCGTTATTGTTTATTATTATTACTATTTTTTACGTTCCTCACTTTTTCTTCTTCTTAGATTCTCATTGTTTTGTGTGGCGTATATATATTTGGCGCACTCCTGTACCAATATATATGTGTTCAAATAAAATAAATAATAAATAAATTCCTGATCCTGAAAATATCTTTCCTAAATAAGCTAACTATGATTAGTTTACATTAGATAAACTAAGACATTTGATTGTGTACATTAAAAGCAAAAAGTCGATGTGAATACATCATTATAACCTAGAAAAGAAACATCCTAGTAATAAAATATAGAATATAATAAATTTTATAACAAAAACTAGTCATCATGTCAGTCAGTCAGCTAAATGTAGGACAAAGCACATATATGCATCGGTCCAAGTTACCACACCTCATTAGCACAACAAAATCAACACCAAGTTAATATGCACAGTTACCTCAATGGCAGTAAAAAATCAACACTTCATATAAGGATATGATACAGGGAGAAAGAATTAACGCCGTAGAAAGTTAGTAACTTCAAGGACTGATTCTATGTTTTGGTTTGTCCGCCCCTAACTTTCTTCCAACCATTCCCAACACTAGTCGGCATTGTGCGTCGTGGTAATCGGTGTTCAGGCATACGTATCACGTGGCCCAACCATCTCAGTCAATGAAGATTTACAAAATCATCATGTATTCAGGACACAAATAAACTGTCTCTTATTTTTCTCCTAAAAACGGTGAGCCTTATCGTAATGATAAATAAGATGATGAAATATAAGAAAAATAAGTAATCGACTAACTGAATGGTAAAAACTGGCAATCGTATGGAGTACACCATGGAAGTTTAATTCTTGATAACGATAACGAGGAAGTGGATGGAGATGGATACTTCGAGTCTTGAGTGCTAGATAACGCAGTCGATTCAAAAAAGGATCCAATATTCTCTTTATTTTCACTCTGAGTCTATAGTTGAAACACAAATGAAAACATGAATAAATATATACGAACAATAGATGGTGATACTTCGTCAGTAACAGGAAATAAACAGATGGAACACAAAAAATCGAACAACAGACAAGAATTGTAAATGGCTGACTTCAAGTCATTGATGCTACGTCACTTTTAATATAAGCTGGAAAAATTTAACTAGTGATTCATCTGGTCAATGCTTAATGAATATGTATACAAAAAACCGAACTAATCCAACATACTAAACACCAAATTAATCAAAAATGTACAAACTGATTATAATAGGTAATGATCTGTCATTAGGATTGTTAAAATGTGAACAATAGAAATGGTCTTATAAAAAATGTCCAACAAAACCACTAACTAGTAAGCATATTCTTGTCTAGGATTGATCATAGTGAATGAAACGGATTCAACTACATGAAGTATGCCTTGTAGCCATAAACTAGTAATCAGAAGAGTATTAAACATATCCGATTTCGTGACTAGTTAGTTATTATTTGTTGAACTCGAATTAAAAAAACAAACAAACAGATTGTCAAAACTAGGTCTTTTAGATAAGGTTATACGAATAATATTGTCCGACCGGCCATTTTTTTTTTAAAAAAAATTTTCCAACCCCAAATTACAATAATTTTCATCCCGTGTTTCGTCCAATGAAATGGCTAGTTTCGAAAACTAGATTTAATTGGTTAGTAATGTCTTGAAAATTGTTATAAATTATCAGTACTTGTCGACGAATCACAATTTCAATCGTCATTATGGAGCAGAGTAACGTGCCGAGTACAAGCGCTGGTGTTTCTCACGTAACGGAAATGGAGGAAGTCTTTTTGACTACCTTGTTTCTGGTTGCGTTTCCATCGGTTGAAGCATTAAAGACCACTATCACAAATTTTGAAAGATCGATGGGGAGTTTGAAACTGTGAGACCGCTGCTGATTTCCGGTACCGCTGCATTCCACATAAAGAACTTTGCTTACCAATCTTATGGGAAATGTGTGACCGCTCAAGATGTCTGCAATATGCGGTACAAAGTGTTCTCACACGCGAACCTTCCTGGTACGGAATTTGCCTATTTATAATGTACACTATAGGTGATTACGGGAAATTGAAAGCTCACATAACATCCTTGGGTGGGCTTTGCGAATACGAATTGGACGATGAGAACTGTCTATCGTATTTCTTCTTCATGACTGCTGAGCAAGTGAATTTGGCCGGTCACTTTTGTGACGTAATTGGTTTATACAACGAGGAACTGTTGGTTTGGATGAAACGCTCAGTAACGATGAGGAGGAAGTAATTTCTATTAACTCCGAAGAGTTAACTGAACGGGACATCGAAAATGACGAAGAGGATGATGATAACCGACTCTGCGACATCTGTAATCTTGCGCAGCCTCCGTGTGAAACCGGTGATGCGGTTGGTTGGGTTTTCTGTAGATGAGAAGCAATGTTTCATACCTTCTGTGCCTACGATCCATCGCCGAACGTACGAGCAGTGCACTGTCCTATCTGTGGCGCCATTACAAATTAATAGTGATGACGTCCAACCGCGAGAACGAGTAAAGGCCCTTTTCAGGGCCACCCACAATTTGATTTCCATTATTTTTTATCTACTACTTTTCCGCGGCAAAGGTCAAGTGATTAAGCACTTAATAATGTCTCATGAATTTAGATATCCCTTAGAGATGAATAATGGAAAAGCGATTATCGCCCATGTATTCGTAAACTTGTTTCTAACGATTATTAGATATAAAGGTTAAGAAAACTTAGACAAGATTTTGTCATATAATGAAGACTAATCTAGTAATTTTTTTATTTAAAATAATGTGATTACTGTTCATGTTTTAGTAACACATTTGTAAACTATCTAATAAAAGTACATTTTGAGTACATTTTAATAGGAATATTTTAAATTAGTGAAAATCGTAATTTTGTCGTTAGGTCAAAAAATTTATGATGACATTTATTAGTGAATGTAATAAGATTATTACAAAGATAAATGTGATTAAAGCTCATAGAGAAGTAAACAAAATTGAGAAAATTAACTTATTTAGGAATAAAATAATGACATTAGAAAACAAGTTGAAACCATCATCGTTGTAATGATTCATGTGATTAAAGGTCATACAGTAAGTGTAAAAAGAAATAAGAAGATTATCCGTATCATGGATACAAAAAACAAGAACTTCATATTCTTGTTTTATATTAAAAGTTCCTGAAACCAGAACTATGCGTACGTAAGAAGTACGTCAGATCGTCAATTAAGCCTTCATTGTGATTCATAACTACTGATTATATCACCGTATTCATTTGCACACCTCTTTAACTATTAATTACTGGTACAATCACATTGTACCAGTTAAAAATTCCCTTAAAATATTCAAAAATAATTTAGCAAACAATCGTTTTCATTAACTTCATCATCACACTATACAGTTATTAGTCCATAATTTTAATATTTTATAAAGTCCAAAAATATGGCATGGCATTAATGAATTTGACAATGTAATGTGTTAACAATGGTTAACGTTTACATCCGTAACGATATATATGATTACAAATTAAAAAGGTCATTCACTAAAGGTCGGGATGATTTGCAGTAAAGTGTTCAGTCACAATAAGTGACTAAGCATTCTAGGAAAATTGAAAATGCAAAAAAATTTGTGTCAATGAAATACATAGTACAAGAATTGAATCTTGTCAATTGACATAATAATAATAATAATAATAATAATAATAATAATAATAATAATAATAATGAGGAAAATAAATAAGAATAGCATTGTAAATGTTCATTGATACAGTTGACCTTATTCATATTTATACGTTTAAAGTCGATAGATATTTGTTGAGTCAGTCAGACGACGTAGGCTTGTTCATTTACACTTCATGAAACTGATATTTCAAATGCTTGTCAAAAATGGTTACATTCATAATGTCTAGATAATTCAGGTTTCATATTACGGCGGTTAACAATATTCACACATGACTGATTAAACAAACTAGTTTTTATTACGACCAAAAATTAATTTTAAAATACAGAACTACAAATAATTTACAAGTGAACACAATAAACCGTTTCAATGGACTTTTACAAATTAACCACATTTAAATCTAACGTTGTCTAATTCTCATTATGAATGACCATTTACAAAATAAACGTCCACTAAATATTAAGTGTCTATTTCGGAAAATTTATTACTACTTTCATATACTGTCAAAGTCAGTTCATTAAATGATGGTCTATGATTGCTTCACCTGAATTATACATATTTCAACCAGTAAGTTATCATAATGATTTATTGATATGTTGATTTCTTTTTCCCATTAACACACCGTGTGTTACAAAAAAACCTATGCACACACTTTGGTGATAATTTGTTTATTAATTTGGTATTAAATATTTGACTACCGACCTCATTCAGTAATCACTATTATCAAATATTCAAACCGGTTTACAGATGCTTTTTCCCAAAAACTTTCTTTTACTGAGATACATAAAATTATTCGTGTTCCGATAACTAACGACTTCAATTCAAGGTATACTTGATCGGAAAACAAAAATTTATCCCAATACACATTCACTAACAGTAGGATTGCACGGTAATGCAATTAAGTTGGTGTCTTTTTCTTCAAAAGTCTAAATTTTTTTCAAGACTAAGATTACACAAAATACATTATTCATTATCATTAAATTTCAAATGTAAAAAATGAAAATTCTGACATCCAATCACAGCTCCAGATGTGATTTCGATTTCAACTAATCAGATTACAAAGATGAACAGTTTACGACCAATAACAAAATTATTAAAGGTAACGAAATGTTTGTTCATTATCACTTGAGCACACACTTGCAAAACAAGTCCACCAATCAACGATACCTAAATTTTTCATTCACACCCCACAATTTTTTTAAAAGGGGTGGTAGGGAATCATATAAGCCGGTCACTTAATGTCAACCAGGTTATACGATTGTAAAATTTAACTTATTTCTTACTGAGTGATGTCACCAAAACTTTTCATTTGAACGATAACAGAGAAATTGAACTTGTGAATTATATGACAAAATGATTCATCTAAAACAGTTTGAATAATTCAATGCTAAAAGCCAACGTTAATAACACCAAATAAACTTGAATTTTTAGTCAATCGTGTTGACTTGTCAAATTATGTAGTTTATTGAAATTCATTTGCCCCACGGCAATTTTTTTTAAAAAACCCCCACCCACCCTTTTTAAAAATGTTTTTTCAACCCAAAATTGCAATATTTTTCATCCCGTTTCGTCCAATGAAATGGCTAGTTTTGAAGTTCGTTTTTAATTTGTTAGTTATGTTTTGTCGGATTGCTATAAAACATCAGTACTTGTCGACGAAGTACATTTTAATCATCATTATGGAGGACAGTAACGTGCCTAGTACAAGCGCTGTTGTTTCTCACGTAACAGAAATAGAGGAAGTCTTTTTGACAACGTTGTTTCTCGTTGCGTTCCCATCGATTGAAGCGTTGAAGTCCGCTATCACAAATTATGAAAGATCAACTTACTGTCATTATGTAGTTCGAGATTCGCATTTGTGCAGAAATGAAAACTCGTACATTAAATTTGTGTGCTGGAGACATGGCCGTATAACATCTAGCGGTTCGTCACAGCGGATTAGACGGAGGAGGTAATTTTATAAATGTTATTAACATTTTTTGTCATGAAGGGCTTCCATGAACACTGAATGTCCGGCGTTCATGTATTGTAAGATTATCGACGGCTACTGGACTGTTGTACGTGGGAATGTGCATCACAATCACGAGTGCAATTCCCTAAGGTACCAAGGAAATTCATGGGTGCGCAGGTTAACAGAGGCCGAGTTTGAAAATGTGCGACCGCTGCTAATATCTGGTACTGCTTCATTCCACATTAAGAATTATGCTTACCATTCTTATGGGAAACTACTGACTGATCAAGATATCTATAATATGCGGTACAAAGTGTTCTCACAGGCGAACATTCCTGGTAAGCCATTTGCGAATTTATAATGAAAACGATAGGTGATTACGGGAAATTGAAAGCGCACATAACATCTTTGGGTGGGCGATGCGAATACGAATTAGACGATGAGAACCGTCTATCGTACTTTTTCTTCAGCACTGGTGATCAAAAGATTTTCGCAGACCGTTTCGGTGATGTTATTGGTTTGGACGGAACATACAAGACGAATAACGAGAATATCTATTTATATCAGGTCGTAGCCCTTGATATGAATTTGAAGGCGATACCCGTTTGTATTGCATTTATAAGTCGCGAAACATCGACTTTGATTTCCATTGAAAACGGTTTGCCATGTCGGCACATATTGGCTTACTGTACACACAGTATGACTGATGTGAACTTACAGTCAATTTGTGATAGGTGGTTACACTCTGATACCTATCTGACTCGTATTGCAGTTGAGAATTATTTCCCAATGCAATTGAGCCAGCCGAGCATGAAGAATACAGTGATTGCGTTAATCAGGCGACTGTCTGAGGAACAATGCAGTTCACTCTATAGCCAGTTTTATCAAGAACTTCACGGTAGACTACCACCAACGCCGTTGAACTTACAGGCTGAACCGCAGTTGTACAGTGGAACAAGCATGTCGACTAACTTTACAACGCCGTTGATCCATCGAGGAAATGTCGATTTGGATGAAACGTTAAGTAATGACGAGGATGACGTAGTTTCTATAAACTCAGAAGAGTTAACAGAACGGGACATCCAAAATGAAGAAAATGAAGAGAACCGTTTGTGTGACATCTGTAATCTTGCACAGCCGCCCTATGAAACTGATGATGAAGTGGGTTGGGTTTTCTGTCCTTGTGAAGCCATGTTTCATAGATTCTGTGCTTATGACCCATCACCGAACGTACGAGCAGTACACTGTCCGATGTGTGGCGCCATTACCAACTAATAGTTTGGACGTCCCACCGCGAGAACGATTAAAGGCCCTTTTCAGGGCCACCCACAAATTGATTTAAAGGCATTTTTCCCAATATTGTTTTTGTCTTTGGCAAAGGTCAAATGATTAAGCACTTTTTAATGTCGAATGCATTTCGATATACCTTAGATATTAATAATCGATAAGCGATTATCGCTCATGTATTCGTAAACTTGTTTCCAATGTATAATACATATAAAGGTTAAGAAAGCAGACAAGATTTAGTCATTTTATGAACACTTATCTAATAATTTTAGAAGTAAAATAATGTGATTACCGTTCATGTCTTAGTAACATATTTGTAAACTATCTATTACTAGTACATTTTAATAGGAATATTTTAAAATAGTGAAAATCGTTATTTTGTCGTTAGGTGAATAAATTTATTAGTGAATATAATAAGATAGTTACAAAGATGAATGTGATTAATGCTCATAGAGAAGTAAACAAAATTGAGAAAAATATCTTCCTTATGAATAAGATACTGACATTATAAAACAAGTTGAAGCCGTCATCACTGAAATTAGTAATCCGATTAAAAGGTCATATAAAAAGTGTTAAAAGAAATGAGAATATTAACCGTTTCATGAATACAAAATGCAAGAATTTCATATTCCAGTTTTATTTTAATAGTACCTGAAACCAGAACTAAGCGTACGTATGAATTACGTCCGATCGTCAACTAAGCCTTCATTGTTATTCATAACCACTGATTATATCAACGTATTCATTTGCACACCCATATAACTATTAATTACTGGTACAATCACACTATACAGTTATAAGTCCATAATTTCCATATTTTATAAAGGCCAAAAATATGTCATGGCATTAATGAATTTGACAATGTACTGTATTAATAATGGTGAACGTTTACATCTGTTACGACATATATATATATATATATATATATATATATATATATATATAAATTACAAATTGTAACATTTGCAAATTAGAAAGGTCTGGATTATTTGCAGTACAGTGTTCAGTCACAATAAGTGGAAGAGCATTATAGGAAAATTTAAAATGCAAAGAATTTTGTGTCAATGAAATGCACAGTAGGAGAATTGAATCTTGTCAATTGACATAATAATAATAATAATAATAATAATAATAATAACAATAATAATAATAATAATAATAATAATAATAATAATAATAATGATAATAATAATAATAATAATAATAATAATAATAATGATAATAATAATAATAATAATAATAATAATAATAAGGAAAATACATAATAATAACATTGTAAATGTTCATTGATACAGTTGACCTTATTCATATTTATACGTTTAAAGTCGATAGATATTTGTTGAGTCAGTCAGACGACGTAGGCTTGTTCATTTACACTTCATGAAACTGATATTTCAAATGCTTGTCAAAAATGGTTACATTCATAATGTCTAGATAATTCAGGTTTCATATTACGGCGGTTAACAATATTCACACATGGCTGATTAAACACACATTAGTTTTTATTACGACCAAAAAGTAATTTCAAAATACAGAACTACAAATAATTTACAAGTGAACACAATAAACCGTTTCAATGGACTTTTACAAATTAACCACATTTAAATCTAACGTTGTCTAATTCTCATTATGAATGACCATTTACAAAATAAACGTCCACTAAATATTAAGTGTCTATTTCGGTTAAATTTATTACTACTTTCATATACTGTCAAAGTCAGTTCATTAAATCATGGTCTATGATTGCTTCACCTGAATTATACATATTTCAACCAGTAAGTTATCATAATGATTTATTGATATGTTGATTTCTTTTTCCCATTAACACACCGTGTGTTACAAAGAAACCTATCCACACACTTTGGTGATAATTTGTTTATTAATTTGGTATTAAATATTTGACTACCGACCTCATTCAGTAATCACTATTAGCAAATATTCAAACCGGTTTTCAGTTGCTTTTTTCCAAAAATTTTCTTTTTATGTGATATATATAAGTACTCGTGACATTAAAATTGTTGATCGGAAATCAAAAATTTATCCCAATACACATTCACTAACAGTAGGATTGCACTTAAGTTAGTGTTTTTTTCTTAAAATGTCTAAATTTCTTACAAGACTTACATTACACAAAAAGATTTATTCATTATCGTTAAATTTCAAATGTAAAAATCAAAATTCTGACATCCAATCACAGCTTTAGATACGATTTCACTTTCAACTAATCAGATTACAAAGATGAACAGTTTACGACCAATTACAAAATTATTAAAGGTGACAAAATGTTTATTCATTATCACTTGAGCACACACCTGCAAAACAAGTACACCAATCACCGATCGCTAAATTTTTCTTTGACACCATACATTGTTTTAGAAATGGGGGGTAGGGAATCTTAATTGCCGTGGGCAAAATGTCAACCTAGTTTATTTATTATAGGTGTGAGTAGATAACTCGGTGAAGGACCAATTTAAAGTACAATATAATCGTAATTTTCAGTTAAATTCAATAATTTTAACTGGATAAATTCAATGATAAAAGATATTCGAGTAACTTGAAGTATTTCTGATAATTAAGTTTCTCAAGAACTACATTTAACACGGAAACCATCAAGTTTTTCTAAAACTCAACAAAAAATTCATTAAGCCAGAAACATTTCATTGACAAAGATAATAAAATTTAGAAAGTACATGGCTTACCAAGGAACCTTCTTGATGAATTAGCTTTTCCGACAGTTCGCAATCAAAATGAGCAAGATCACTTTCCTCATGAGCAATCGGACCAACAGATACTCTGGGTTGAGAATTATCTGGACTATCAAAATATACTGTTCATGAAAAAAAAAGACAGAGGATGTCAGATTTTGATTTGTAACTATGTAAATAAAAGTAGTGTTTTTATAACAATCGAAGAAGTCTTTTAAAGTAGAATTTAGCACCACTTCATTATTTCTAGGATTAAAATTCAAGAACTGAACTTCACTACGTTGTTTGTCTAATAAATAAGCTCGAATAAGGTCAAAAACACTTTACTGTTCAAAATTTGTCCCGTTTACATTTCCATTGCTCAAAACCCTAGTGGTATTTTCCAGTCGTTTTTCGTCCCGTGTATTTGTGAAAATTTGTATATAGATAAGGGTTCCCATATTCAGCTTGTCAGAAATCATTACAATCGTGAAACGGTGAACAAAAAGCAAGAGAGATCACACACGTCCAATGTTTTCACGAACAAAGAAAGTCGATATTCATCCTTGTGGCTGTCACTACTATTGGCTTAAAAAGAGCTTTCTTATTTACCTTGTTATCTTCATAAATATCCTTTAGTATTTCATGAACTTTCCCAGATTTTTTGTCAATTTATACCAAAGCCTTAGTGGTCTAGTTCGTGCATTTATTAAAACAGACTATGTAAAATTAGCAGTCCTTCAGTATAACTTAGTATATCTTAGAAAAGTTATTCATCGAATGTAATGTATTAGAAATACCGGTTGTTTCTGGTAAGAAAAAGAATGCTAAACGAAACTTTAAAACAGTAGATATTAGTCAAATGGTGAAGGTCAGCTTAAATAAAATATTTATCTTTACATCATTCCATTGCTGAATGATAGAAAAGAAAAGAGACGAGTATTGTAAACTTAAGTTTCATTCCAGTAATTGCTTTGATCGAACGAGTATCGAATAGATTGTAACTCTTAGGACTGAGTGACAGATTATTGTTATTTATCTTTTCACTGGGGTAAAAAATACTTAGTAGACAACTGTTATTTTACCTCTGTAGTCTCTTTATTGTAAGCTCCCGGTGGACGAATTAACTGTTGTGATGTGTATCTAGATTATTATAATCCACTATGTACCGTCTGCTTTGCTCTTTGCTGCTTATGGCAGTCAGACAACTACAACGTAGGACCAGGCACATATGCTTATGGCATGATTGTATGTACAGTACGACTTCATATTGAAGTGTGCTGAGGTCTGATAATTTATGTTGAGATATAATAATAGGAATTTGGCTGCTTTTTTCTGACACAAGGCTAAAGATAGATGGCATGGGAATCGGTGGAGGCATAGAAGAAAAAGCTTACGTTAGCTCAAAATTAACTGCATTTGTCAGGACGTATTACTGGATATAGACGGAATACCATACACTGGGTAGCAAAATTCTGATTTACAAGCTTAAAAAGTGATATGAATTAAATACTCAGGAATAAAAGTAATGACTAGAAAATTCTATCTTGTAAACGACCAATCACATTTTTTTTATTGAAATATAAAATGTCAGATATTTCAATATTTATACAATCAACAAATGGATTCGCATGAACATTTTAATTTGTTAAATAACGTAATAACCAATCGACTAGTTCATGAGAGTAATTCAGAACAATATTTTGATGACATAAACTGTCAAATTAGTGAATAAGAAGGAAATTCCAAATGCAATAAAACGGAATGACGATAACATAGTTGGAATATGATTCAGTTACTTTAAAGAATACATGTATTACTCAACTGCGAGTGTTATTTGACTTATTTACAAACTTATGAACACAAAAAATACAATGTCCAACAAAATAAACAGCTCATATACTGTAAATATGACACTAAAACATATGTAACCATACCAAAGCAGAATACCGATAATCACGACGTAGCTAGTGAATTAATACACATCACAAACCTGGTTATGCACTCAAAATAAATCATTTATACAGAAGGTACACAACGGAACGGTAGATTGAATAAGTCAAAAACACTTACCTACGATTGGTGCGAATGTCACACTCGGACGACCTTTAGGTATGATAGGCAAATTTGATAAACTTCGTGAAGAATTCTAAAGAACAAACGAAAATATAATCACACCGAGATAAGAGTAGACAAAACAAACTTGACACACACAAGTAAATTGATAAAAACGATAAAACATTACCTGAAGATCATTATTCCAAACCAAAGAAGAAGACACACCTGCAAAAAAAACATGGCAAAAATCAATCTCCAAAAAAACATAAAGGAAACCAAAAAAAAAACATGAAAAACATTAAATCAATAACAAAATTGCAAAATCCTACAAAACAACCACAGAAATTTAACACAAGGCGATAAATCCTGACACTGCATAGAAACATCATCATCATAACGGTAAGGGATCGGTGACAATGCCTGGAGGGAGGACACTGGTAGCCTCAACCAAACCATAACATCACTCGAAGCATGTTTTGCTCCATCTGAAGCAACAACTACAAAACCAACAATCAAACACAGCAAGCATAAACAACACGATACGTGGTGATAATATCACTGAAAGACGCATATACATATACATTTCTTTGTTCATCCATATATATATATATATATATATATGCAGATGCATACATACACACACCTATGTGCTCAAATGATAACCTCCATTTTCAATCTCAAATCAATCACACTCTCTAACACACAAATACACGTCGGACATCAATAAACAAACAACCACAACGACTGAAAAAAAACACATACCGTCTGGAATCGCAACATCATCTTCATAACGGTAAGGGATCGGTGACAATGCCTGGAGAGAGGACACTGGTAGCTTCAACATCTCGCTATTATCTCTCGAAACATTCTTCTCTTCATCTAAAACAACACCTACAAAGTTAACAATAAAACACAGTTAACAAAAATAAGGATATCAAAACAGTAACTGCTAAATGGATATGGTGGTTAGGCTTGCATATCGTGGTCACTTAATCGATTTATATGGGCTGTAATACTTGTTCGTTTAGGTATTATCATAACATGCAGGTCGGTTTGGAGAACGGTCAGTATGAAATTAGTAACCTCAGGTCTGAAGGAGAAGTCATACTGCTAATTGTACAGTCGTGTGATAACAGTAAAGTGTTTTCTTCAGAAAACCAGCATCTACGGCAATGATGCCTTCTCACAGCGAAGGGAAGAAATTAGGAAATATCGACTCTGAAATGATTTTACAACTTACACCACGGATTTACGTCTTCAGTGCCAAGGCCTTTGGAAGTAGGGAGCTAGGAGATCATAAACCTCTCATAAAAGGGTCATGTTTTACCGACCTCAAACTATTGTCCCTTAGCCTCCGTCACCACACTCCCACGTCTTCATGGCCAACAGGCTGCTCCAACTATGCTCACATAACCGTTCATTTCTAGCAAACATCAACTCCAATCATAAGGGAAGACATTGTCTGACACTGCGACACCCACAACCGAATGACTTATCAAGCGAACAGGTTTTAATAATCCGGCTGTTAGTGAGACTATCTCAAGACTATTATTCACTCTCAACCCATGAGATTAGACCGATATGCAGAACATTTTAGGCAACAGTTCAACTGACCTCCTGCTACCCTTCAGTTACCCACTATCGCCAAACAGCTTGAAAGGAAAATCGACATCAGCCCTCAAACTCTTAGTGAGGTTGAAAAATCTATAACTAATCTAAAGTGACACAGAGCAGCAGGTTCAAATGGGTTAGCTCTGGAGATCTCTAAACATAGTAGTCTAGTTTATCAGTCAGATCGACTGAGATCATAATTAGAATATGGGAATTAGACATAATCCCATCTGACTGGTCTCGATCGTTCATTGTCCCAGTTTATAAGAAAGCACAGAAATCTCCCTAGTCGTGACTACAAAGGAATCTGTTTGAATAATATAACACCTAATATATTTTCCCCAATAACCAGGGCTCGTGAAGAGAGAGAATCGGGACAGTCAGACTCGGTTCAAACCTAGACGTGAACGTAACAACCAAATACCCACCCTTTGTCAAGTCCTGGAACATAAACATACTTCCCGACATCCGACTACAGTGTATTTCTTAACCTTAGACTTTAAGGCAGTTTTCGACCCTGTCGAATGTGAGGTTCTGTGGTAGTGTTTGTCATTAAAAGGCATACCAAACAAGTACATCAAACTTGTAGAGGTTCTTCACTTCAACACTATTGGTCAAGTTAAAGTTTATCGAGAACTGTCAACCTCAAGTAGTGTTCCTCAGGATTGTGCAGTTTCTCCACTCTTATTTAACTTCGTCATCGATATCCTTTTAAAAATAATACTCTCATAGTCTGACTTTTCAGAGGTCGGTCTTCTACCAGAAGATCCGCTTATTGATTTAGAATACCCAAGTGATATCGTGCTGTTTGGTAAAGACGCTGAAAAGATATTGAGACCACTGTTGCCTTAAGCAATAATGCGAGCATGTTTAAGACGCGATTCTCTCCCTATAAATCAAAATTGTTAATTCAAAACTGGGCTGCGTCAACCTCTGCATTAATGATAGGGAGTGAAGTAGCTGAGCATGTCGATCACTTATAATTTATCTTGGACGTCTCATCAGTCCTGATGAATAGGTATTTGATGAAACCACGACACGGAATCAAAAAGTTCGGTCGGCTTTTGTGTCACTCATGAAGTGGGTGAGATATTAGTCTGTCAATCAAAGGACGAGTTTACTAATCAACAATTCGCTTGGTTCTACTCTATGGGTGTCAAACATAGACAATAAGAACAGAGAATGTTCTCAGGTCACTATTATTCGATCATAGGTGAATCGATACACAGATCATACATTTTTGTCTGCCGAGTGAGCAATGCTGAAGTTACACATAGGATACTAAGTACAGATTGCCAAATCGATTGATCAGGAAGTGAATATTCATCGGCTGAGGTGGTTCGTATATGTCTCGCCTATGTCCAATCACCGCCTAAATCAACGAGCGATATTGTCCAGTATACAAGTAGACCAGGACAAAGCTAGGTGGGGCCAAGAGAAGCCATGTCACTAGCCCATGAAGCCATTGATAATTAGACTGATTCATATTAATCACTGTAGAATACCTATGTGTGGTCGCGTAATTATCGTAACCAATTGCAAGAGACTATGGATAACAAGCCTGAGAATGGTTCGCAATACCCCAGACACATTCACTCACTACCTTCCCTCAAAACATCATTGATGAATTAACACTTTCAATACCCAATCGCCTTTACAAATACAAAAAATGTTACTAAATCTACAACTCAACAATTTGTAGAAAAAAATATTAGTATCTAACACCAAATACCCAAAATCATATACTGCAAAAAAACGCAAACGCACGTCAAACATCAATAAACAAACAACCAAAATAACAGATAAACAAATACATACCTTCTGGCATCGCAACATCATCTTCATAACGGTAAGGGATCGGTGACAATGCCTGGAGAGAGGACACCGGTAGTTTCAACCTCCACACCTATGTGCTCAATGATAACCTCCATTTTCAACTAAATCAATCACACTCTCTAACACACAAAACACGTGGACATCGATAAACAAACAACCACAACGACTGAAAAAAAACACATACCGTCTGGAATCGCAACATCATCTTCATAACGGTAAGGGATCGGTGACAATGCCTGGAGAGAGGACACTGGTAGCTTCAACATCTCGCTATTATCTCTCGAAACATTCTTCTCTTCATCTAAAACAACACCTACAAAGTTAACAATAAAACACAGTTAACAAAAATAAGGATATCAAAACAGTAACTGCTAAATGGATATGGTGGTTAGGCTTGCATATCGTGGTCACTTAATCGATTTATATGGGCTGTAATACTTGTTCGTTTAGGTATTATCATAACATGCAGGTCGGTTTGGAGAACGGTCAGTATGAAATTAGTAACCTCAGGTCTGAAGGAGAAGTCATACTGCTAATTGTACAGTCGTGTGATAACAGTAAAGTGTTTTCTTCAGAAAACCAGCATCTACGGCAATGATGCCTTCTCACAGCGAAGGGAAGAAATTAGGAAATATCGACTCTGAAATGATTTTACAACTTACACCACGGATTTACGTCTTCAGTGCCAAGGCCTTTGGAAGTAGGGAGCTAGGAGATCATAAACCTCTCATAAAAGGGTCATGTTTTACCGACCTCAAACTATTGTCCCTTAGCCTCCGTCACCACACTCCCACGTCTTCATGGCCAACAGGCTGCTCCAACTATGCTCACATAACCGTTCATTTCTAGCAAACATCAACTCCAATCATAAGGGAAGACATTGTCTGACACTGCGACACCCACAACCGAATGACTTATCAAGCGAACAGGTTTTAATAATCCGGCTGTTAGTGAGACTATCTCAAGACTATTATTCACTCTCAACCCATGAGATTAGACCGATATGCAGAACATTTTAGGCAACAGTTCAACTGACCTCCTGCTACCCTTCAGTTACCCACTATCGCCAAACAGCTTGAAAGGAAAATCGACATCAGCCCTCAAACTCTTAGTGAGGTTGAAAAATCTATAACTAATCTAAAGTGACACAGAGCAGCAGGTTCAAATGGGTTAGCTCTGGAGATCTCTAAACATAGTAGTCTAGTTTATCAGTCAGATCGACTGAGATCATAATTAGAATATGGGAATTAGACATAATCCCATCTGACTGGTCTCGATCGTTCATTGTCCCAGTTTATAAGAAAGCACAGAAATCTCCCTAGTCGTGACTACAAAGGAATCTGTTTGAATAATATAACACCTAATATATTTTCCCCAATAACCAGGGCTCGTGAAGAGAGAGAATCGGGACAGTCAGACTCGGTTCAAACCTAGACGTGAACGTAACAACCAAATACCCACCCTTTGTCAAGTCCTGGAACATAAACATACTTCCCGACATCCGACTACAGTGTATTTCTTAACCTTAGACTTTAAGGCAGTTTTCGACCCTGTCGAATGTGAGGTTCTGTGGTAGTGTTTGTCATTAAAAGGCATACCAAACAAGTACATCAAACTTGTAGAGGTTCTTCACTTCAACACTATTGGTCAAGTTAAAGTTTATCGAGAACTGTCAACCTCAAGTAGTGTTCCTCAGGATTGTGCAGTTTCTCCACTCTTATTTAACTTCGTCATCGATATCCTTTTAAAAATAATACTCTCATAGTCTGACTTTTCAG